AGAATAAGGTCTTCCATGAAGATGCCAAAAAATTCTACCGGCATCTCAACGAGCAGCAAAGCACCATCAAGGAACGTCCCTCTCAAGAGCGACTCGATCAATTCTGGCGTGGAATACTGGAAGTTGGCACAGACCACAATACCAAAGCCACTTGGATCAAACAAGAGGAGGAAACATTCCAGAATGTAGCAATAGATGTATGGACTGACATTACAATGTGTGAGGTACAGCAGGCCATTAAGCGAACCCACAACTGGAAGTCTCCTGGCCCAAACAAGATGCACAACTTCTGGATTAAGCATTTAAGTGCCTTCCATAAACAACTAACCAGGAAATTGAATGACACCATCAATGATCTATACAATAGCCCTAAGTGGTTGACATTAGGAATTACTTCTCCTCTTTTAAAAGGCAAGGATACGAAAAAACCAAAGAACTATTGACCAATCACTTGCCTGCTTTCCACCTACAAGATTCTCACTGCTGCAATCTCCAACCGCCTCTACAATCACTTACAGAAGAGTGGCATCCTCACAGATAAGCAGAAAGGCTGTAGAAGAGCGTCTAGAGGGTGCAAAGACCAACTTTTCATCAGTAACATGATTGTGAGCATGGTAAAAAAGCTCAAGAGGAAGCTAGGAATGGCGTGGATTGGTTATAAGAAAGCCTTCGACAGTGTCCCATATTTCTTGATTCTCGCAGCCATGAGAATCTACCGTGTGTCACCAACCATCATTCAGGTCATGGAAGCTACAATGAAGAAATGGAAGTCTGAAATGCTCCTCTTCACTCAATGAGGCAAGATATCTCAATTAAGAGAGAAATCTTCCATGACGACTTGCTCTCTCCCCTGCTATTCTGCTTAGCACTAACACCGCTTACCAACATGCTGAATAGACACGGCCTGGGATTTACAGTCGATAAACACAACACCATCAGCCACCTGCTCTACATGAATGACCCTAAATTGTTCACCAAGAACGAATATGAGCTGGAGCAGGCCTTGATAACAGTCAAAGCATTCAGTGATGACATCAAAATGGAATTCGGCTTGGAAAAGTGTGCAACCGCAATCTTAAAAAGTGGTAAGCTAGTAAAAAGTGGAAATATCGAGCTTGATGACAAGACAGCCCTACAAAGTCTGAATCACGAGGACACCTACAAATATCTTGGTGTAGACGAAAGTGATCGTATTCAGCATGCAAAGATGGAGGAGAACATTGCTAAGGAGCACTATCGCCGAGTTACCCTAGTTCTCAAGTCTGAGCTCTTCTAAAAAAAACAAGATAACTGCGATCAATAGCCTGGCACTCCCAGTCCCCGTGTACAGCTTCGGGATGATCAACTCGTTGCGATCAGATATCGAAGAGATAGATCGCAAGACAAGAAAGCTACTAACCATGCACGGGCTCCATCACCCAAAAGCAGATGTAGGGCGACTGTACATCAAGAGGCAAAATGGTGGTTCTGGTCTTGTTGAACTGATGTCTGCGTACAGCACTGCCATTGTAGGTCTAGGCGACTACATCGAGTTTAAGGAAGACAAATTTACAAAGCT